AATCCTTTCACACCGGTCTGATGAAGCGGCCGTTCAAGACTCATTGGCTCTCAGTGTTCAATGTGCGGGCTCTGTATCCAATATGGGCCACCGCCTACTTGCTCGAACTCACCAAGTTGAATCATTAATGGCTAAGGTTGCAAGTCTGAAACAAGAGATTAGAGGGCTCAAGCATGAGAATAGAGTGTTACACATGCTTGCAAATAATTACTCTACGAGCATGAAAAGAAAGCTCGACCAGCTACTAGAATCCGAAGGTCGGACTCAAAATGACAATCGGGGGTTCGAGTCTTTATTCCAAAGACATCTATTGTCTTAGCTGTCTAGAGTTCCATCAAGTATTGAGACTCCAAATAATCAACTTCTGGTGTCTCCCCCTTCTGGGGTACTTCCGAGTACTGATGCTTCACATGAGCAACCTTTGTGAAGGTTCCCTCCTATTTGTTTGTTTTAACTCATTTGTATGTAATTTCTCAGAGATAAGCTTTATTTCATTCAGTGTATTGTGTTAAATACAATAAAGCATATATTTTACTAAGATGTGGTACTTCTGGACCAAATATCAATTTATCTTTACCCTCGCAAAGATAAATGATCATTCTTAGTGTCTAAATCATTTGAGCATTCAACTCATAATCTTCAATCCATATGATTCTTTAATGTCATAAATATCATGGATAAGATTCGTGTTGGCATATTGTTCGATTCTGCAGTTCGAGACAATATTTCTCTCAACACTTTATAATATTTCTTGACTCTTCAGGAGTCCCAATTTAATATCATCAACTCTTGCAAGAGATTTTAGTATGTTGCAACAATACCATAATGAAAGTACTCACTAATGTCACTTTCCAGGCCCGCTCCACCACTGTAGCACGATATTATCCGCTTTGGGCTTACCATTCCCTCACGGTTTTGTTTTTGGGAACTCACGAGCAACTTCCCAGTGGGTCACCCATCATGGGATTGCTCTAGCCCCTTTCTCGCTTAACTTCGGAGTTCCTACGGAACCTGAAGCCAGTGAGCTCCCAAAAGGCCTCGTGCTAGGTAGAGATGGGAATATACATATAAGGATCACTCCCCTGGGCGATGTGGGATGTCACAATCCACCCCCCTTAGGGGCCCAACGTCCTCGTCGGCACATTTCCGGCCAAGGATTGGCTCTGATACCAAATTGTCACATCCCGGGGCGGATCACTTCCCGCGCCCGCTCCACCACCGTAGCACGATATTGTCCGCTTTGGGCTTACCATTCCCTTACGGTTTTGTTTTTGGGAACTCACGAGCAACTTCCCAGTGGGTCACCCATCATGGGATTGCTCTAGCCCCTTTCTCGCTTAACTTCGGAGTTCCTACGGAACCTGAAGCCAGTGAGCTCCCAAAAGGCCTCGTGCTTGGTAGAGATGAGAATATACATATAAGGATCACTCCCCTAGACGATGTGGGATGTCACAACTAAGACAATTTATATCATCCATTGGTATTGAGTACATATTTTATGCTTTACCCTTCCGGGGATTTCTTCAAGCAATTTGAATCATTCAGGGATTTTCTACATTTCATGACACATTTTCCTTTAGAATTTATACAGAGCAATTCGCTTCCATGTATATTTGAGGGATTTACTTATGGAGATATGATGTGGGCGACTCATAACCCTTCGTATATAATTCTCCATTTATATGAACTCGTTTCTAACCTTGTATCATATCATGTGGATGTATTTCATGGTATTACAAATGCCCATATGTAACCTTCTAGGTTCAACATATTTTAGCTATTTGTATGATATCCAAGTATATAGGCCTATTTTTCCACGTTCTTACAAAATTGTAATGGAATTGCCTTTTTCCATTTTGGCCCATAATTTTGTTGATGGAAAAAGAACGGGACTCAATATCACCATAGCTCATTGATGAATTTAGTAGCTACTTGTAAAAACCAAAATTACCATTGGTTATCATCAATCTGTGATCTCATATTCTCATGTGCATGCGCATGCATAAAAGCTTTTCATTTCTTTTGGGATATCCATTGCCTCTTCAAGGGCATTACACTATCTTTTCCAGGATAGTCATAATTTAGAGAATGCGGATCATAACCTCCTCTTGAGCGTTATAGAGCTTGGATTTTAATCTCCACTTCCGGGAGTTGAGTCATTGGAACCTATACATCTATCATGCTTCATGCATGAGACATCAATATTCCCATGCACGCGGATTGACCTTTTCGGGACAAGTATCCTTGCGGCAACTGTCATGTGTATGGCATGCGACAGTTATGCAATAGTTCAGTAGTGTCATATTCTTCTTCTTTCGAATGACTGAACCTTTTGAGTTTGAGGATCTGCCACGCTTCAGGCGTGTAACAGATAAATCATTTGCTACCATATTATTTTGTCCAACAGGGACATTAATTCTTGTAGGCACATTTGCAGCAAGTATATGTGATTTCATCACTTTCGTTGCATCATTAAATGCATCTGGCATTTGATTTGCATATCGTTGCATCATTCAATTATTCTAACTTCGTTTGTATATTGATTGCTTCATGAATCAAAATAAGACAAATTCTTTTCGTTCTTCTGGAACGGTTTTTTCTCATTATTCTTCTGAAATGATATTTGTTCATCGTTCTTTTGAAACGAAGTTATTTTCTCCCCCTAACAGCAGGAAAATTGTCTTATCAAAATGACAGTCCACAAACCATACGGTAAATATATCCTCAATCAAGGGTTTCAAATGTTGAATGATAGATGATGTTCAACATCAATGCCTAATTCGCAATGATGTTTCATTTTAGTATGTTGTGGCAATGCAATAGGCACATAGATAACACAACCAAAAACTCGTAAATGTATAATGTTTGGCTGGTTCCCAAACATGAGTTGTACTGAGAAGTATTGATGGTTGTCAACAGGTCTCATCCAAATCAATAATGCATCATGTAAAATGACATGTCCCATGTAGAAAATTTGGCAATTTCATTTTTATCAGCAGAACGCGGGTAATCAATTTTATCCGCTTAATAAATGTTCTGCGAAACCATTTTTTAGTATGGACATAAGGAACTTCTGGTCCTTATTTAATAGTCTGTAGATTGAGATTCTTATGGCTTTTATTGCAATTAAGTTGAGGCGCTGTGGCACTTCAAACTTAAAGTACTTATCAAGGAACTTCATATCCTGATCTTGAGGATCAAGGGACTTCATGCCCGATCTTTTTGTTTGATGGAACTTCAGGTCCAATCATTTTTATTTGATGAGGATCAAGAAACTGCAGGTTTTGATCTGATCAAGGAACTTCGGGTCCAGTATGTACTCATCGTAACAAAAAGAAGTACAATAAATAAATTAAAGCAATAGGCGGTAATTCTAGCCATAATGAATAAATTGCATTTAAGTAAATAAAGCTTTTGACAAAGGCTTTAATTCAGCACCATTCACATAAATCAAAACTTAAAGCAGTAGGCGGTAAAACCGTCCATGATAAATAAATTGCTTTAAAGTAAATAGAACTTGTGAAAGGGTTTTAAATCAACACCAATTCACATAAATAACAAGAAGTATCATACCTCATTTTATTTATTATTTTTCTTTTTTTTGTCAGCACTTATTCAAACCTTATTATTGTTACTTTTCTTATTCCTGTAGCATGGTGCCATGCACCAACAGAAACCATTTATATTATGTTGACCAAATGGTGTCATGCACCATTCAAATCCTTTTATATATATATATTTTTCTTATGTTGCAGTCAACATCCCTTTTTTTTCTTCTTCACATGTGCCTTGCCATTCCATCAATCCCCATTTTCTATTATTTTTCTTCCTTCTCTGTCTCTGCCAGTCTCGAAACACAAGGCCAGCTGGGCAGTTATGGAGGTTGTCCAAATTCAATTCAATCCAAAAAGGCTACTAGAGACTGGCGTTGTTCTTGCATGACCCAGGGAACATGGCATCGTTAAGCAAAAACCTCCCTACAAAGACATAGATGACAGTGTGGTTGACGAAGGCACAAGAGAGGGAGGCATGTGTGGATTCATTCTTGCCATCACCATCTCAAACAACCAAGTATTCATGAGAGTTCTCAAGATCCGTCGAAAACAACGTGATCTGGGTTTCCAAGTCTGATGAGATTCTTCTGGATCTCTGAAAACCAGTTGTCAGGTACGAGTTTTCTCATCTCGTGACGACTTCAGGTCGTAAATTTTAATTCTCACCGGAATTCGATGGGGCGCTTCTGGCGCAGTGGGAGAGACGAAAAATGGACATACCTTTTATTCTGAGGTGAGAGGTGGATTGTGCTTCACCGGATTTATGGCGTTGTGCTTTCCACTGACATGAGAGCTTTTCGTGCTGATAACGTGTTGTAAAATCGACGATGTGTGTACAGTGGAATAAATAAAATAAGACACAAAATTTACGAGGTTCCTCTACAATCAGTGTGACTGGAGTACGTCATCGGGTAGCAGTGATGCTTTCATTATAATTTGGAATAATAGGAGTACAAAGATGACTCTATGTATTCTCTCCTTTCCTCTTCCTCTCTTTCTCTTCCCTCATTTTTTTTTTCTCTGTGCTCTGTCTCTATTGATAGTAGTCGGAGTGCTCTATTTATAGAGCAACTCCGTATTATTACATTTTGTATAATTACACCACACCTTTGACAAATGATCTCCACATATCAATATTCTGCCAAGGTTTTCAATAATGTGGCAATGTTTTCAATGCTATGACAAGGTCTTCAATACTGTGGGCATTCATTACCCACTATATTTTTCAACAAACTCCAATATATCAAAAAAGTTTATTAATTTTTAGCCTTTAAATTTAATTAAGAAATTATTTAAAATAAAAATTAAATAAATGTATGCAGAATAAGAAAAGATTGTTTGGTTTTGGATATCGCTTCCATAATATATACGTTAAAGAAAAGAAGATAAAAATTAAAAGTTAGGAAGCTTGGTTGGTTGGTCCATGTCGTTCAAGTAGTTGGTTTAAATGTTTTAACTGCAGCTCGTGAAGAGATAGAGAAGGACAGGAAGGTGAAAGGGAGATGGGTTTTCTTTGTTTTGTCAGGTTCTGTGGTTTTGGGGCCTGTTGTTTCTGAGTAGTTGTTTGTTGTAGTTGGCAATTATCTTTGTCCTCCTCCTGATGGACTCTCCAAGGATCTCTGCTTTCCTCTTCTTCCCTCCACAATAAACAACCACCATTCTATTTCTTCCCTCCATTTTATTATTAATATTCATTACCATATCAGCCTCCATTAGCATTGGATGATTCATCTCTCTCTCTCTCTCTCTCTCTCTCTCTCTCTCTCTCTCTTTCTCTCTCTACCTGTGACTCTGTATTGATTGAGATAACAAGATTTGATATATATGGTGAGAAGAAACAGTTTAACATAGAGAAAGTAATAGGTTAAAATAAAAAAGGAATGAATGGTGGTACTGCTTCTGAAGAAGAATTCTCTGAGTTTGTAGAGGTTGATCCTACTGGAAGATATGGAAGAGTAAGCTCCTCTTCTCCTTTCCTCTAATTTGTTTTCAATTTTCATGCCTTTTTGCTATTTGGGTTAGTTTATAATTTTGTTTTTAACTCCCAAGTTTGCTGTTTTTTTTTTTTTTTTTTTTGGCAGTACAATGAAGTTCTTGGCAAAGGAGCTTCAAAAACAGTGTATGGTTTCAATACCCTTTTCAAATTAATGCATAAGTTTGACTTTTTATGTGGTTTAATCAAAACCCTCTCAAAATACCGTAGAAGTTTGAATTTGTATGTGGTTTGTTCAGTCAAAACCCTTTTGAATTTATGCACAAGTATATATTTTTATGTGGTTAAATTCAAAACCTTTTTCAAATTGATGCCCAAGTATGAATTTTTGTGTAAAAAAAAAAAATGTATTTTTGTTCATAATTTGTGTTGGTTTTTGCAGATATAGGGCCTTTGATGAGTATGAAGGGATTGAAGTGGCATGGAATCAGGTGAAGCTTTATGATTTTCTGAGAAACCCTGAGGATCTCGAGAGGCTATACCGCGAAATTCATCTACTCAAGACCTTGAAACACAACAATATCATGAAGTTTTACTCCTCTTGGGTTGATAGTACCAACAGAAATATCAACTTTGTTACTGAGATGTTTACTTCTGGTACTCTCAGGCAGTAAGTTTCAGTTTCACCCTTTGTTTTCTGGTCCGAGACTGTAAATTTTTTTTGATTATTCAATGTGGGGGTTTTCTTTCTTTTTATTTTTTATTGGTTTCTGTGTGTAGGTATAGGCTAAAACACAAGAGAGTTAATATCAGGGCAGTGAAGCATTGGTGCAGGCAGATTTTGAAAGGGCTTCTCTATCTTCACAGCCATGACCCTCCTGTGATCCACAGAGATCTCAAGTGTGACAACATTTTCATCAATGGAAACCAAGGTGAGGTCAAGATTGGTGATCTTGGCCTCGCTGCTGTCCTCCGTAAATCCCACGCTGATCGTTGTGTTGGTAGGTCATTTCTAGGTGCTTGAATGTCTTTTCAGTGATTAGAATATGTAGAATTGCTTGACAATTTGACGTTCTTCAAGCATATGCCATTGTTCATAACGAACTTCCGGATATTTGTTTTTCTCTAATGAACTAATTTGATAGAGTTTTTGTTCTTTGAGATCATCTCATCTTTGTCTTGTTTCTCTCTCTTTTCCTTTGGTTTCTTTCCGCTTGCTCAGGAACACCGGAGTTCATGGCTCCAGAGGTTTACGAAGAGGAATACAATGAGTTGGTTGACATTTATTCTTTTGGGATGTGCATCTTGGAGATGGTTACCTTTGAATATCCATATAGCGAATGCACTCATCCTGCTCAAATCTATAAGAAAGTTATCAATGTAGGAACTCTGAACTCTCAAGTTAATTTTCTGGTTGGTTTTTGTTTCTTCCAAATGATTTATGTATTTAATTTTTGACATAGGGGAAAAGGCCAGAAGCCCTGTTCAAGGTGAAGGATCCTGAGGTGCGGCGTTTTGTTGAGAAATGCTTAGTGACCGTCTCTCATAGGCTTTCTGCTAGGGAGCTTTTGAGAGACCCTTTTCTCCAGGTTGATGACTACGGATACGATTTAAGGCCAATAGAGTATCAAAGAGATATGTATGAAATAGGGCCTCTCTTAAGACAACCTCACTCTTCACTTCATCAAAGTAACAGCTCTTTGAGCAACGGGCATGGCAATTATCTTGGTTACGAAACAGAAAATGATTTGGACTACAATCCGATTGATTATGGATTGAGCGAAATTGATCTCTTCGCTTGTCAAGAGGATGAGCATTTGGGAGATGTTGACCTCACAATCAAGGGGAGGCGGAAAGAAGACGATGGCATCTTTTTAAGGCTCAGAATTGCAGATAAAGAAGGTAAAAGTTTCAGTCTAACTGCATACATGTGCTGTTGTGTCCTGTAAATTCTGAAATGAAACTAAACGTTCCTTTTCTCTTCAGGCCGCATCCGAAACATCTATTTCCCTTTTGATACTGAGAATGACACGGCATTGAGTGTTGCCAGAGAGATGGTTTCTGAGCTTGATATCACAGACCAAGATGTTACAAAAATAGCAGAGATGATTGATGGTGAAATTACTACCTTGGTACCGGAGTGGATTAAGGGATGTGGCATAGAAGAAATTCCCCATTGCAATAATGCAAGTTTTTGTCAAAATTGTGCTTCGTATGGTTCCATTTTGGATTATGCATCACCAGATATTCCAGGCGTCAAGCACCTCCAAGTTCTTCAGTGCTCAAAACACGGATCAGCTGCTGTCCATGGACGTTTCGAAGAGATTACATACCAAGTTGAAGGCGCAGAGCATAGTCTTACAGGTGCACCTAGAACATCAAACCATTCTGATGGCTTGCACTATGCTGATATCTGGGCTCAAAGAGAAGGACCGGAATTAAGCTCACAAGGTTCAGGAGATTCCAGTGATATCCAATGCAACGAAAATCATGAAGCATTGGATGTAACAAACTTTGGTAAGGAAGAGAGAATTATAATGATGGACAACCAGAGCGATTCGAAAGCAAGAAAATCTTTCTCAGAGAAACTTTCAGCCAGTTCTGATCGGTTAGATGATTATGAGAACGAGCTTCGTCAAGAACTACGATGGCTCAAAGCAACGTATCAAATGCAGTTGAGGGAGATTAGGGACCAACAGCTTGGAGCTAGACCGAAAGCTTCAAGCCTAAGTCCAAATTCAAATCACTCAGGGAACAGGGAAACAAATGGAGTTTCAATGTCCTCGGCTTCGTCCCAGCGGACGAAAGAAAACAAAAAACCTTCCTTGAAATCGTTTTCCTCGGGGAAGCATTTCACATATTCTCCGGTGGATGCTGAAAAGAAACATTTGGCAAGCCCTGGTGTCCAAAATCACGAGGCATTTGATGGGGCTTACAGTCCTGAACAAATCATCACTGCAAAGAGTTTCTACATTGGTGCATTGCTTCCACACTCCCTTCACCGGGCAACTTCTCTACCGGTCGATGCTATAGATGTTTAAGGGCCTGCCAACTTCTCTATTTCTGTCACCAGGTTTACACCACACCCTCAAATAATACTAGCAGCTGCCTCTTTTCACCGATACGAAAAACGAATGTGATGGATATTACTTGTACAACAGTACAAGCAGAGATGTAATTTACAGCTTGTAGGTTTTGAAACAATTCCAGGTAAAACAATTGAATCAATGAACATTACCCACTAACATGAAAGTAACAAGGCTTGATTACATGAATTTGTGTCTCATATCTCAGAAGGAAGGAGATAAGAGTTAATGTGATTTATGATGACTGCAGATGATAGTGAATCAGTGATGGGAGTAAATTAGTTGATACATTTCTTTCTGGTCTATAGAATGCATTTACAAATGAATATACCTCGTGACATGCAAGTTCTTCTGGTCATTGAGACAAGTTCCCAATACTTACTCCCAATACCAAAAAATGTCAAGAATGTTAGACGACCACTAGAGGAATGGTATCTTGTTTCTTATTCCGATGATATTAGATTACAAAAGCTTAAGCCGCCTAAAATGAGACAACAATGTATGTAACTTAGTATAGCACCTAGAGGAATACTAGGTCAGTAGACCAACAGGCAACAGCTACAATTTTGTCTGTTGTTGATGATCTACTTCCCTTTCCTCCACCCAACCTTCCTTTTCTTTTTCTTCTTTACATAAGGTAAAAGCTCCTAAAAAAATACCACTTTAAGAGGACTGTGGGATGGTTGCTGGTTTTAAAGAACAAAAGTAGAATGGTCCAGCTGAGAGTCTACCATATAGCTCCACTGGTTTAAGTATCATGGACCTCACTGTGGCGCCATGTGAATTTTGGCCTCACCAAGTTGTCAACTTGTGCTATGATATTTGAGGATGAGCATTTCCTCCAAATCAGGTATCACTACACCAAATGACTATTGATCGTAACCATATTCAAGGACTATTTAAAAGTTACGTTGAGGTTAAATATGAAAAACAGTAACTCTCTGCTGCAATTTTAGTATTTAATGACGGATGTACACTAGGGCAAGTGAAGGCTATTGCCCATGTTTGGCTATTGCCAATGTTTGCCATTTTGTAGTATCCTTGAAGTTGCCTCACATTACATTAACGTACTCTTCGAGGATATGTGTCATTTGAGCAAGGTGTTCGACAAAATGCTAGTATAAGTGTTGGAAATAGTTATTTTAGAAACTAGATATTGTGGTAAGGAATACTTCCGACCTTCTCTTGAAAATCAGTGTTTGAACATCTCTAATCTTGCCTCACCACGAAAAACTCATGAATACGCGATTGCCAACACAAATCGAAGATCAGTAAGTAAACCATAATCCAGAGCACAATGATGCATTATTAAAAACGTTGTTGAGTGTATCAGGCTTTCGTTTCACTTTGGTAACCAATGTTTGCATGATTGCATATCTATCCCCCCGCGTGCAGCATGAAAATTGAAAACATTGAAACGGCTTTCTGCCTTACGAGCTATAGAAAACGTGATTGTACGATAAGCACTTTCACACGTAGACAGATTCCATTTCTCATCACTCTTTTAAAAGTTCTCTCAAAACAGCCTCCCATGTGGAGTGGGTTAAGTATCAGCCCGGAAAAAAATAATAATAATAATAATAACAATAATAATGAAAAGTAAAGCTTGACCGTACAGAAAAGAAATTATTGACCACCATCACAACCATTACCACCACCATCACCATTACGACGCATTGAGTATATGTCCAGCTCCTGTCATCCTCGTCAGCCCCAAACCTCCCCACTTTCCCATTAAACTTCTATGACTTTTCCGCACCAACAGGTGATCAAGAAAACAATGTCAGAATTCCAGAGTCGGTGACGTTAACCACACAAGCGCACTATTAGAACCTTTGTTATGCATGTTTTTTTTTTGGAAGACTTTGAATACGGTTCTTAGTTATGAATATTCTTTTATTGAAATCTTGTTGATTTTTAATTTTTGATCAAGATTCCTGAAATTAATGTGATAATTTATTTCTATGTACGTTACTATATTTTTTAAATTAAAAATTAGAAATTTTAGTTGTTTATATAAATGAGATTTTAAATAAAAAAAACCATAATTTATGGGATTAAAAATATTAAAATATAAATATACTATTGTGTGTGTGTGTGTGTATAAACATGGGTACATTCATCAAAATTAACCAAAAAATTAATTGTATCAAAACATGGGTACATTCTTCAAAATCACAAAATAAATAAATAAATAAATAAATAAATAAAAGAAGAAGATATTAGGCTTAATAACATTAGTAAATTTCTTCGATTAAACTTGACATGGATACATTTTAAAATCAAAGAAAAAAGAATGTACCCATATAAGTTTAAGGGTAAAGTACAAAAAACTACCTCAACTATTGGGGTCACGACAGTTTCATACCTCATCTTTTAAAATTGACAATGTCATACCGCATCGTACGAATTTGTGACAATGCCATACCTCCGTCAATTTTTCTGTTAGTTTTTCTGTTAAATGCTGACGTGCCAAGAGACGGGGACCACTTTCTATTAAAAAATTAATAAAATATTATTAAAAACTAAAAAAAATATTTAATATTTTTTAAATATTAAAATAATAAATAAAAGTAAAATTAAAAAAAAAAAAGGGTAAAGTACAAAAAACTATCTCAACTATTGGGGTCACGACAGTTTCATACCTCATCTTTTAAAATTGACAATGTCATATCGCATCTTACAAATTTGTGACAATGTCATACCTCTGTCAATTTTTCTGTTAGTTTTTCTGTTAAGTGCTGACGTGGCTTGATTCGAGACATACTTTCTATTAAAAAATTATTAAAAACTAAAAAACAATTATTTAATATTTTTTAAATATTAAAATAATAATAAAAAGCAGAGGAAAAAAAAACTATCAGTTTGTCCCTCCCCTCCCCGTCCCCCCTCCTCTCTCTTCTTCCCATCTTCATTTTCTTCCCCCCCACCTGCAAACCCAAAAAAATAAAAAAATTTTGAAAACCCAACAACCCCCTGCAGAAGAACAAGAAGGAGAAGGAGGAGGAGGAGGAGGAAGAAGAAGAAGAGGAAAAAAAGGAGGAAGGGAAAAAAAAAAAAAAAATTCCCCCTGTCGGCGCGGAAGAAGAAGAAGGGAGAAGGAGAATGAGGAAGAAGAAGAAGAGGAGGATAAAAAGGAGGAAGGAAATTTTTTTTTATTTTTTATTTTTTATTTTTAAACCATCAACTCCCCTGCGGAAGAAGAAGGAGGAAGAAGAAGAGGAGGAAAAAAAGAAGGAAAAAATAAAAAAAAAAATTTGAAAACCCATCAAACCCCAAATCCACCACTTTCATCCATCCTCCACCTTCTCTGCGCACCCATCTTCCCGCCGACGGGATTTAGGTTTTTTTTTTTTTTTTTTTTTTTTTTTCCTGGGTTGCATGAGGGAGAAAAGTGTGGGTGTGGGGGGAAGACAAATTGGATTTTTTTTTTTTTTTTTTTTGTTGGGATTTGCAGGTGGGGGAAGAAGATGAAGATGGGGAGAGGAGGGAGGAGGGGGGAGGGGAGGGACGAAATGAGGGTTTTTTTTTTTTTTTTTTTTTTTCTGCTTTTTATTATTATTATTTTAATATTTAAAAAATATTAAATAATTGTTTTTTAGTTTTTAATAATTTTTTAATAGAAAGTAGGTCACGAATCAAGCCATGTCAGCATTTAACAGAAAAATTGACGGAGGTATGACATTGTCATAAATTCGTAAGATGCGGTATGACATTGTCAATTTTAAAAGATGAGGTATGAAACTGTCGTGATCCCAATAATTGAGGTAGTTTTTTGTACTTTACCCCTTTTTTTTTTAAATTTTACTTTTATTTATTATTTTAATATTTAAAAAATATTAAATATTTTTTTTAGTTTTTAATAATATTTTATTAATTTTTAATAGAAAGTGGTCCCCGTCTTTTGCCACGTCAGCATTTAACAGAAAAACTAACAGAAAAATTGACGGAGGTATGACATTGTCACAAATTCGTAAGATGCGGTATGACATTGTCAATTTTAAAAGATGAGGTATGAAACTGTCGTGACCCCAATAGTTGAAGTAGTTTTTTGTACTTTACCCTAAGTTTAAAAATGGATTAGAAAAAAATTGAATAGATTTTATATAAAAAATTGTACATTTTACATATAACAAATTGGTATATTTAAGAATGAGCACATTTTAAGATTTAAAAGTTTTACACGAATGGGTACATATAATTAGCATGGGTACATTTAGCAAAATAAAAAGTACAAATAAAAAAATATATGGGTACAAATACAAATAAACTTTAAAAAATATGGGCACAAAAAGAAATTAATATATGGGTACAAATTAAAACTGAAAAGAAAATTGGTACAAATTAAAAATGGGTACAAACTAAAACTAAAAATATATGATAAAAATTTATTTATAAATATAAATATACTAATTGTAATGTCACATCCCGCCCCGGGGCGGATCACTTCCCGGACCCGCTCCACCACCGTAGCACGATATTGTCCGCTTTGGGCTTACCATTCCCTCACGGTTTTGTTTTTGGGAACTCACGAGCAACTTCCCAGTGGGTCACCCATCATGGGATTGCTCTAGCCCTCTCTCGCTTAACTTCGGAGTTCCTACGGAACCCGAAGCCAGTGAGCTCCCAAAAGGCCTCGTGCTAGGTAGGGATTGGAATATACATTTAAGGATCACTCCCCTGGGCGATGTGGGATGTCACATGTAACATTTTTAACATTAAATGAATATATTTAGAAATAAAAAAAAATTATTATTGAAATAATTAATGATGTTATTAATACCCAAGGACCTTGATAAAAAATTGAAAATGAATAGGATTTTAATCAATGAAGTAGCAAAAGGAAGGATGAAAATCTAATTTCTCCTCTTTTTTTTTTTTTTTTTTTTTTTTTTTAACATCGACGGAACGTGGAAAATTTGTTGATATGAAAAAAGAAGTTACATGTAGTCAGAAGGGACATAAACATTACCTCTTATAAAGCAAGAAAAACAAAATATAAGAAAAGGTTTTTTGGTTGGGGGGGGTGATATACACTTTACCCCTCTTGAAAAAGAAAATACAAGAACAAGAGGAGGGACATAGTGTTGGCCTTTTAGAGATCGATACCATCATACCCTTGCATGTTTATACTCAGTAAACCTACGCTGTGCATGGACATTAAATGAACATGCATTAACCTTAATCTC